TTTATAGAAATTTTACCAGCTAAATCACAATGAACATATCGTTTTTGTTCGAGATAAGCCATACCTTTAGCAATCTAAAAATACAAATTTTTTTTTTGTGTTTTATCGAAAGATATTTTCTTTTTATTTACTTGTGCAGCAAAATCAAGTATAGTTTTAAATTTTAAATTTTTTCCTGGTCCATCACGTAAATAATTTAATAAACATCCATGTGTCATATATTCTGTAACAATAAATATTGGTTCTTCTTGTGTACATACACCATATAGACGTACAATATTTTTATGTAATAAATCTTTCATTATTTTTGCTTCATCAAGAAATTTATCAACATTACACATACGATTTTTATTATCCATTTTCATACATTTAATTGCAACATCACGTTGTCCATATTTACCTTTATAAACTTCACCATAATTTCCACGACCAAGTAATTCTGTACGTTGAAGTTGTAAACGATCTAATTCTAATAGACCATGTCGATCAGCTGGAACAGTTGGCTCAATTTTTCGACATGGACGTGTTAATAAACAACAAAGACCATCAGCATTTGCTATAAAAAAAAACAAAATATATATTTTTATATAAATAATAAAAAACAAAAAAAAATGTGTAATTCTTTACTTCGATAATGATCAACAAGATCTTGTAATGTTGGAAAAACATTTTTACTACTAATATAATATGATCCTTGATCAGTTCGACGTATACGATAATGTTTTACATGAAAATGTTTATCTTTACTTAAATCGAGTACAGATAATGATTCTTGACCTATAGAAGAAGACGAAAAAAAAAAATATATATTAGAAACAAATTATTGAAAATATATTCCATGAAAATATATACCTTGATTAGTATCCGAAGGTCGAATCAAAAAAGTTCCTTTTCCATTATGTGGTTGTTCAAGAAATCTTTCAGCATCACGACGATTTGTTTCAGTAAAATACCATCTAAATATAATATATTATTCGATAATCATTAAGATTTTTCTAACTTACTCGCATGCTGTTAAATCATTGATAGCTGATATATAATTTGCTGGTACATAACCACTTAATTTTGTTCGTAAATTTTTCGCTTGCCACCAATCATTAAAACTATAGAAAAAAAAAAACGTGGAAATGAAAATTATTGTTTTTTTAATATGTATATCATTGAAAGCAAAAAAAAGACAGATTACTTACGAATATCTATCAAGAATTTCTAATCTATCACCTTTACGAAAACTTAATTCACCAGTTGTTGATGTACCATTAAAATCATAATTAGCTACATAAATTAATTTATCTTGAAAACAAAAAAAAAAGAAAAGAAAATCAATTAACATAATAAATAAATAATTTTACTTGAATTATTTTTATTATAATTATTAGGTGTTTGTATTCCTAAATTTCCTCCATAACCATCTGTATATTGATGTATAATTGGTGTTTGTGGTTGATTTTGTTTTCGATTTATACTTCCACTATTTTTACTTGCTATAGAACCATCTCGAGGATTATCTGAATATGAATATGCATTATCGCGTTGTTTTCGACGTGAACCACTATTACGATTTCCCATGGAAGAATAATATTCGATTTAAAATTATAGATAAAAATTATTGTATGTCATATATTGGATGTATGAATATGTTTCGTATGGATTATCTGGAAAGTAAATAGACGAACAAATTAACTGACAATGTCAGATGTTGCTCTCTCTTGCTTTTTTTTTTTCTTCTCTTTCTCTCTGTCTCTCTCGCACACACACGATATATGTTCAATTAAACGAGCGGAATTATTTTAACCAATTAAATTTCTATGTTAACCTTTATATTGTTTTTTTTTTATCTATTCTAAAATTTCTTAATAAACAAAAAACGAAAAAAAAAAAAAAAGGAACATTAGTTGACATAAGATAATTTTTTTCTCTTTTTTGTTTATTTTGATATGACGAATCGACTAATAATAAATGAATAAATTCTTACAATTAGTGACATCTATTATTTCTTTTATTAATAATATTTATATTCTTTTTCATTTTAATCATTCCAACGATGACCACATTGTACACATTTATAAAATACTGTCATAGGTTCATCAGCTGAACGTGTTTGCATTTGCATAAAATATGCTTTTGTATAAGCACATTTTGGACATGTTATTTCTGTTTTATCAACATTTTCCATTGATGCTGTACCACCAAGAACATCTTCAACTGCTTTTAAACTTGTATATTGTCGATCGGTTATTTTAGTTACAATATCACATATATATGGACATGTATTACATGCTAATCGATTGCATCGATCACCTTGTTCGACAAATAGCATATTACCACAACGAGGACCTAAATAAATATATTATTGAATTAAGAAGGATTCAGATGACATTTAATCTTAGAAATTTTTTGCTTATTGATTTCCAAAAAAAAAAAGTACTCAAGCTTCTCAAGTCAAATTTGATCAAAAATCTTCTGTCGATCTCTGCTTGTATTCGATGAACAATTTTTATAGGAAATAAATATTATTTCAGATTTTTTTTTTTTTTGTTGAATCAATCAAACTTAATTCAACGTCAAAGATTAAATAAATAGAAACAAGAAAAGAATGTTTCTTTTTCTTTTTCTAAAGATAATAATAAACTTTTATGATACATATAAATAATTGTTTTACTTACATGAGAATATTTCTAATATGAGACTCTCTATTTAAGTATATCTTTAGAGAGAAATTCAACAAGGATTTATTATTCCGGAGAAAAGAAAAGAAGAAAACACAAACTACATAAAAAATTTCCTAAATTGGATTTGTTCTTAGATAAAATAGATAATAATGAATAACATTCTAGATTTATTCAATATATCAGTAAGAGTTTTTATGATATTTTCTTGTCTTTTAACTTATTATCTATTACATCTCTCTTCGAGATGACAAAAAATGTCATTGATGTCAATTATTCTTCTAAACTAATATGAAATATACTATCATTAGAATTTATGATTCGATTAATAGAATATTAACAATAGTTTTATCTCTGTCATTATTATTATTTTTTCTTTTTGCGTTAAATTAACATTATTATTAGACTTGTCAATGACCTTGTTAAATTATTTACTTCCTTTTGAATCTCTAGATGTTTTTTCTTTTTGTTGAATAAAAAAAATAATCATTAACTATCTCTCTTCTATTGATTATCATTTTCTCTAGTGAAATATAGAATAGAATAAAGAGGAAATCATCTATATTTAGATCAAATACTATTTAGAATATAATTGAACTTACAAAAAAACATTTTTTTTATTTCTTTAAAGCAATTTGGCAAGAGAGCAAAAAAAAAAGAATCTATCTAGAAGAAAAATAATATTATTAAAAATAATCATAAAAATCAATGAATTTTATTGCAATTATTCAATAATTAATGCATACATATGCACATCAATATCTTGTCCATTTTTATGTACATATTTATGTAAGACTCCTTCAAATACAAAACCACATTTTTCTACAACGCGCATTGATCGTTTATTCCAATGAAATATTGTTGCTTCAATTCGTGCCCAATTTTTCCATTCAGTTTTTGCTATTTCAATTACTTTCTTTACAATTTTAGACATTAAACCACGATGCCAATATGGTTCACTTAACCAGTATCCAATTTCTGTTATCCTTTCATTTTTAACCGAACGATGTAAACCACATGCACCTATCAATTCGTTATTTGTCTGTAAACGAACAGTAAAAATACGTGTTGAATTTAATGATTCCGATTTTACATGTTTAATAAAATTTTCACCATCATTTGTTGAATATGGATATGGTATTGCCAGTGTATTAGCATATATTGTTGGATTATTAAGCCATTTAACAAGTGAAGGAATATCTTCATTTGTTAATAGATCAGTTATATATATTTCATCATCAATATCATAACGATTTGATGTCATTGTATTCTGAAAAAAGAAACGAACAAAAAGAAGAAAAAAAACAGAAAAAATTCGTTTATTTGCTTGATTAGATAAAAAATACAGGACGCAAGTCTATTTATATATGATTGAAGGAAAAAAAACATAAGATGATGAAATTTTAAGCAAGCAATTGTTTACGAATTTCCTCAGCTTTTCTTGCATCAGTTAAATGAGACAATATTTTCAAAGCAAATTCAATTGCTGTTGCTGGTCCTTGACTAGTGATTAAATGATGATTATTAATTTCACTATAAACAACAGGTGCATCGAATTTAACTGATTTAAATTTATTTTTAAGTGTATTAACTGTCTCAGGATAACATGTTATATCATGTTTACGTGCGTTTTCATCGGCATCATATAAATGTGTAGATAATGCTATGGGACCAGCACAAATAGCTGCAACCAATTTATTTGTTTTATAATGATTAATAAGAAGAGCACCCGCTTTTTTACATGATGCTATCTGTTCTGTACCTTTACTACCTAAATAAAAAAAATAAATAAATCAAAGCATAGAATTTTATTATTCATGATTAAGGTAGATCAAACATACCTCCAGGTACAATAACAGCATCAAATTGTTGTCCTTGAACATCGTCTATATGTAAATCAGGTACTAGTTGAATATTATTAGCACATGTTATTGGTTTTTTATCATTTTTTTCAACACTACATAATTTTACATCAACACCACCTCGTCGTAACACATCGACCGTAGCCACTACTTCAGTATCTTCGGAACCATTAGCCACGAATACTAAAGCTTTTTTCGTGCCATTCCTAATAGAAACATATATACATAAGTATCACATAACTCAACCTTTATCAAGTTGTTTCTTTTTTTTTTTTTTTAATACATAAGATTATTCTTTTTTGCACCACAAAAGATACATAGACACACATAAGCAGAAAAAAAGAAAGAAAGAAAGAAAGAAAGAAGAAAAAAAAAAGTACAAATTATCCTAGAGAAAAACATGTTGTCAATGTTTGAGATCATGCATATGCATAAATATAATTATTAATTTATTTTTTTGTTTTTCTATTTATTTCATATTAACTGTAGGAAGTGTTCGTCGTTTAGTTGCTGTTGGTCTTAAATTAGCTGATGATGGTATTGGTGGATGAATAGTTGAAGATGAAATAATAGCATTTGTTGGTTGATGATATATAGGACGAGATGGTACAACTTGTTGTTGTTGTCGTACAGCAGTTTTAGGTGGTTTAACTAATTGATTAGTTTTTGTATGTTGTGTTAAAGCAGTTGCTGAACGAAATTGTTGTTGTTGATGAGCAGGCATAGGTATTTTATTATGTGATAATGATCGAATATTATTATTTGTTGAATTCATTTGTGATTGAACAATAGCATTTGTTTTTCGTGTTGCATTTGTTAATGATGTTGATTGTTGAGAAATTTTTGTTGCAAAATTTTGTGTTTGTGGTAAAGATATTTTTGTTTTGGTTTTTTGTTGTTGATGATGATGATGATGATGATGATTATATGATGGAATAGTTGCTATTGGAGATGGCATTGGACGATTAGTATTATTATTTGTAATTGATTTTGTTGTTGCTGATGATAAATTTGATGATGATGATGATGAACGTGATACACTTTTTTGTTGTTGTTGTTGTTGTTGTTGTTGTTGTTGTTTAATAAGTGTTTGAAAAGTTTTTTCAATTTCTTTTTCTTGTTCCATAGCTGATACAAAAACATTTTTTAATAATGTTGAATGTTCAGATTTTGATGTACGTCGTATAACTTGTTTTTTACAACGATCACATAATATATTTGTTTGTTGATTTGTATTTATATGTTTCCACCAACGTATTGTAAAATCTGTACCACAATGATCACATATATATGGTTCATCAATATGTGCACGATCAGTAAAACGTTGTGGTAAACGTTGACGATCAGTTTGTAATTCATATAAACATTGTACAACATCTTCAAGACCAATATATGGTTGAAATTCAAGACTAGTTGGATTTGGTATAAATAATATATCTCTTAATAAAGGTTTAGGTGATGGAATATTTAATAAATCACGTTCAAGTTGTGTACGTAAAGCTTTTTTCGCTTGAGTTTTACGTTCTTCAAGTGAATAAATTGTTGATGATGAAGGTGTTTTTGTTGGTAAAGGTGTAGGAATTTTAGTTGGTAATGGTGGATTTATTGGATTGGATGATTTTCGTGTAGCTGATGTCAATGATTGTTGAAGAGATGTACGTGATGATGAATGTGGCAATGAAGTATTAGGTATTGTAGATTTAGTAGTTGTTGGAATACGTGTTGCTGTTGGATGAAAACCATTTGTCTTTGCTGTTGTTGTTGTTGTTGTCGTTGTCGTTGTGGTAGTGGTATTAGTTGATGATGTATTATTATTTGTTCGTGTTGCTAATTGTTGACATGAACGTAGTTTTTTCAATATAACTAAATTAGCTTCTTCATTTCGTAATTCTTGTATAAGTGAATGAAGTTTTAAACGTTTTAATGAACGTATATTATTATCAGTTATTTGACTATTAGTTGATTCCGGTGATAAAGGTCGTTTATTCGACATAATAGTATTTTATTTTTTTTATCTGAAATTCTTTTCGTTGTTGAATATTTATTTAAATAAAAAATAATCTGTTTGTTTTCTTTTTTTTTTATTGTGTGTACGTATTTGTTTATATGAAAACAAAACTAATTATTATTTTAATACATACCATATATGGATTGAACGTATAGAAATTTGATTAGTTGAAGGTTTGAATAAAAAATGACGTATCATGATATATCTAAAAATACGTCAAGAGTTACGATATTGAAGAAAATTTTATATACGAATAGATTTCATCTTTTTCTTTTTTTTTTTTTAAAGATAATATCGTAACCGTGTGACTGTACCTGTATTGTGAGCGTGTGTGCAATACAGCAACAGTAGGAGAGCAAACAAGAAGGGTAAAACTTTACGGGGCCACTACCAGTCAGCTAAGGAGGGTAAGCAACCCTTCATCTCCTTCTATCATCCCTCAATACGGAATTTCGTTCTTTCTTTCCTCTCTCTCTCTTTCCGTCGTCATTGCCGCCGCCGCCTCGGTCAGACCCGAGTTTCTTGTTTACTGACGACCGAAGGTATTTGGCTCTACTACAGAAAGCAAGGAATAAGAAGAACAAAAAAAAGGACATTATAAACATCTCACCATCATCGATGATTCAATTTGAACTTCATGAAAAACTCAAATTTCTTAACAACAAACGCATACACACATACATACCTTATAGCGTTTAAAAAAAAGAAAGTAGTTTTGTGATGATGGCAATAAAGAAGCCAACATTCACATACACCTACGCATAGAGGCAAACACAGAAAAAGATCGACGTAGACAGAAGTCTAAATAGAGAATAGTCGAGTGAAGAAACAGAATACGATGACGAATGTAAGAGACTCGTTGAATATGCGAGCGACTCCGTGCAGAGAAATGTGATGATTTGTTTCCTCAAGCGTGCAAAAAAAAAAAGAAAAAAAAGAAGAAAGTATACAGGACAAATATAGACTATGAACATCGATTGTACATATACATATATATATATATATCATGAAAAGGAAATGAAAAAGAAAACTAACAATTGGTCGACAATGATTCCCATTTTTCAATTAATTAGATTCGAGTCTTAAACCTTGTTTAAACGAGGATATAAATTCTCAATTAATATTCTTCCTATTGTTCATTAAATAAAATCCTTCTTACTTTTTATCTTGTATAAAAAAAAAAATTAAACAAAAGTCTTCGAGATATTTAAAGATAGATATAATCCAGTTCATTATATATTTATATAGATAACAATGAATAGATTATCTAATAACGATACTCTTCTCGATGGATACAAAAGCGAACTACGATCATGTGCACTCTGAATTGGCTGGCTCGTTTACTTGCTTATACTCTCGCAAGATGGAAAATGGATGGTGATGGGAGGAGAGAAGAACGCAAAAGAGAACATGCCGTGTCGAACGCCGACTACAAACGACGCCTATTTCAACAAAACGATTGACCTCTTACTGTCGACAAGAAAAGAAAAGAAGAGAGAAGAAACGCGAATATAATCATAGTTACTAGTCTGCTAAAATCTTTAGATCTCGAATAATTTATCTTTTATATATACTATATGTATATCGTTTATTAAACAAACTTCATTGAACATCACAATTGAAACTTATTACAAAAAGAAGTAAATAGAAAAACTTTCAAAAAGAAAAAAAAATCAAATCGAAAAATTGAATTTTTGAATTTTTTTCGATTCGTTTTTGTTTTTTTCATTAAAATAAAAAACACAAGAGATAAATAACAACTTATCCGAAAAAAAAAATGTTAAATCCTTCGTACAGAGGGCGGAAGAACGAAGAAAGAAAGAGAAAGGAAAAAATGACGATTGGAAGATCATTGATCCAGTTGTCTCTACGATAAAAATCTATGAATAGACCAGTGGCGGCGCCTTAACATTGAAAGAAATAGAACACAAACAATAAAAACTTGATTTTGTAAACAAGTTTCCAAAAAAAAAAATGTCAGAACCACCGCTTCCTAGTGCTCGTCGACAACTTTTATTTGCAAAATATAGACCTTTTCTAACAACACCATTCTTCTTCGGATTTTCAGCACATGTACTTGCACCAAAATCGTTTCCTCGGTTTGATATTTTATTAACAAACTATATAGATATATATATTTTTTTTCATCTTATTCCTATTAACAGACTTCTTGGCACTCGTGTCGATTTACCTTTAACCAATATACTTTGGTTTGGGTCTCATATTGGTATTACTATGTATCTATATACTTCCAAACATTTACGAAGTATTCATACATTTGAACGTTTATTATATAGGTAAGATAATTCAACAAATAAGAATATTTTTGCAAATTATTATGAATAATTTTTGTTTTTGAATTTAGTATGTACGGTTCAGCAATGTTTAACTTTGGTACAGTTTTGATTATGACAATTATTCGTTCAATTTTTCCTGATAAAGAAGCTCTTCGTTTAGGAATTGGTTTATCAATTAGTGGAGCTTTATTATTTATTGGACAACGATATGTTCATTATATTGATGAAGTTTTTGATGCCATACGATTTCGAGCTATCAAATAATTTTCAAAATAACATTTCTAAAGTGCATCCTATTATTATATTCAGTTAATCTCTCGATATTTTAAAATCTTACCCATCTTAATAGTCATTGGTGTGAAATTTTAAATTTCATCTTTTTTTTTAATCATCTTTATTTTATCTTATAATTTTTGAGTATTAAGGCAAAAAAAAAAGCGTTTATGTTTTGTTTTGTTTTATACAATAATTGAATCATTAATATAGGTGATTCCTTTACCTAGAGTAGGAAAAGATTGATATGGTAATTCAATATCACTATCATCACCATGTGAAGTTGAAACTTTTTCAAAACAACATGGTTCTTGATCATAATGAAGACGAAAAGGAGAAACAAATGTATGAGAAAAATATTGTGGAATATTTGATGGTTTTTCTTCATTGATTGTTTGCATTATTCGATTTTGATTAACATGATAAGCATGACTATTATCATAATCATCAGTTATATTTGATATATGATTTGATTGAAGATCTTGATTAATAATAGTTGCTGTACTACTATTTTTATTATCGTGTTGAAATAAATTTCTTTGTTGTTGTTTTATACTACTTGTTTGACGAAGTTGTGGAAGTCGATGAAGATTATTTGGTAAAGATCGTTCACGCATAATAAAACGAGGATTAGATGATTGTTTTAATTTTAATATTGATCGACGTTGTTTTTGTTGTTTAAGATATTCATAATAAATTCTTTGATTTTCATTTTCAATCGATTTATTATATGTAGTAGTTATTGTATTATTCTTAAATTCTTTTGACATATTATCTGGATATGTTTCACTTGATGTTGAATGAAGATCAATAAATAAATATGATTTTAATTGTTTAACATCAAGTTTTGTTGGTTGAAATGAATTTAAATCATTTAAATAAGCATCTATTATTGGTTGTTGTATACAACGTGATGGTAATTTATCAATTGATAAAGTTTGATCAGGTTCATAATAAATAGAAAATAATTTATCAGTTGATCGAACAGAATATGCAGATGTTGGTGTCATTGTTATTGGTACAATTAATTGTTGATTATTTTCTACAGAAAAGTTTTTTTTAAGTTTATTACTATGTTTATATTGAAATTTGAGTTTCCGTTCTTGATGAGAATAATGTCGATAACAAAGTATAATAACAATTATTACAAAAGCAAGTGTAAGAATTGAAATTAGACATAATAGAGCAATGAATGATGGTTGAGAAGTATCAAATGATGACGATGAAGAATCAGTTTGAAGTATCTTTCGGCCATAGCGTGATTGAAAAACTTCTAGAATTGATAAAAAATATTAATATTGAATAATTTAAATTTATTCATTACCGTCAAATATATTATTAACCATGAATGTTTGTTGCTGAAACTTATAAGAATTACTATTCATCCGAAAAACATAAAAAATGGCTTGATGTAGGTTGAAAAAAAAAGCATAGAGTGACAAATATAAACATAATTTTGTTTATGAAGGATTTCTTGTTATTATAAAAATCGACTGTCGAAATGAATAAACTCACCAGAGTGTCTACTGTTAATTATTTTCAAATAGATGTACATGTTCAAGGATAGGATGACAAAAAAATTCCAGATAAATAATATTTGATACACTATTGTTAAAATTAAAGAATTAATTATTCCATAAATTTACTTTTTTTTAATACACGTTAACGATTAAATATCCTTACAAGACAAAAGAAAAAGGAAGTTACAATCAACATGATTTATTTACATTTCTTCATAATGTACTTCGAAACAGAAAAAAATCTACTAGAAAAAACAATGAACAAGCATTTACAAAATAAAATTCAATAACGAAGACAGTTGAGAGCTTTTTATGTTTAAGATACAGCCTTGTCAGTAAATGAACAGTTCTATGAGGCCACTTCGATATGCATCATATACTTCACTGAAAAGTAAACAAAAAAAAACCAGCTTTTATATTATCTAATCGTACATTGTATCGAATCATATTTTTTTTTCGTACTACTGAAAAATAATTGTGCAGTAGACTAAATCAAAATATACGAGTTCATATGTTTTGAATAGATCAATGAAGAATTTATCCTACTAATCGAAAAAAGGAATATTACCAAAAGATAGATCACGTTTGAAATGACTTTATTAAGACGAAGCAAAGTCTAACAGAAACCATGTCCATGGATTTTTCTTTTTGAATTGTGGACATATTAGTGAATTTTTCGACAAATCAATTTTCAAGTTCGAATTTTGAATCGATAAAATTTTCATTCAGTCTGATTCATTGTGAAAATATGAGTCTCACATTTCAATATCAAAAATTGTTTTATGTCAAACAGCAAACTTCGTTCAAGAATTCCTATCTACCGATAGAAAAAAAACTATATAAGAAGTGTGACACTTTTACAATGGCTTACGAGGAAATATATTTCAGTGTACTT